CCAAAGAGCTGGAAACAAGGGTAGGTGTGTGTCTAGCCTTCACCAGCACTTTGAGACAATGCTGACTTCTGTCTCCTTTAAAAAGCAAGACAACACACTCCAGACCCATTACCATGCTTTTTAGAGCCCTCTGCCTGACCTGGGCTCTGTCCTCACCCATCTTCAGTAGGAAAGGATCCCAGCTCCTGGCTCATTCACTGTCCTAGGCACTACACTCTTTGTTCCTAATTATTTCGATATTTACTGAATTGATGCATTAATATCTTGTTCTTCTGATACCTTGCATCCTCACTTCCAAAGATGTTTTCTTTCATCCCACCCTATCATTTCCCCAAACTATACTACATACACAATTTTGATTCCAAGTATCCATCTTTACAGTTTTCCACGTTTGTTGAAGTGTCCTCAACCAACTGTTCCCTAGAGAACATAAGCCCCTTATTTTCTAGCCCTTTCCCTGCCAAATTTAGAGTCCAAATCCACGATTCCACTCTAGTCACTTGGCAAAGCACTAAATCTAGTTAAAACTACCACTTCAGTGGTGCTTCTTCGACATACAAACACCTGAGCATGGCAGAAGACCACCAAACACGATGAGGGGCACTATTTACATTTGTGACCAGAAATCTCCAGTAGGCTCTCCTGGCAGTTCAGTGTTTTTATAGAATTGTCCTACTTCACTTTCTCACTTTCCTAGAAGAATATTTTCTCTGTGTCTTTAAACATTACATCCTCTTTCTCAGCTAATGATTTCATTTGATATCTCACTTAGGAAAACGCAGATGAGAACTACCTCATATTCCCCAAATGAAATCTTCCACCTCACTTACATCTTCATATCCATATTCTCATATCCATATCCATGAATGACCTATTTAAGGATAGATAAAGCAAATTTAAAGAAAAAGTAGGAGGTCTTGCATTCCAGAAATCAGTATTTATTATAAAGTTATAGTAGTTAAGAGAAGGTAGTATTTGCAGAAGGGTAGGGAAAAAACCAATGGAATAGCTAAGCATGTAGAAACAGATCCAAATATATACATTTACCTGATTTATGAAAAAGTGACAAGGCAGGGAAGTGGAGAAAAGATGGTCTTTTTAGTAAATGGCATGGGTCAAATAGATACACACATTGAAAAAAAATCAAACCCTGACTTATGCCATACTAGAAAATTAATTCCAGGTGAATTTTACATCTAAATATAAAAATAAAGCAATATATATTTTAGAGAAAAAAAATACCACTGGCATTATCTTGATTTATTTAAAGATACATAGGACATAAAAAGAAAAAGTTAAAAAATTTGGCTACAATAAAGTTGGTACAAAAAACACTAAGAAAGTGAAAAAGCAAGCCACAGAGTAGAAGACATCTGCAGCATAAATAGCCAACAAAGGAGCAGAATACATAATCAGCTTCCGCAGATCATCAAGGAAAAACAATCACCTAGTGGGGAGACAGGCAAAAGACTTGGATAGATATTCTTAAAAGGGGATCTACCCAATAGCCATGAAAGTATGAAAAGATACTGCTGCATTGGTCATCAAGGAAACACAAATTTAAGCCGTAACGGTCTACCAATGTACCATGACCACAATTACCAAAATGAAAAAGACAATACTAAATGCTGACATAGATGTGAAGTGAACAGGACTCTCCATCCATTGGGAGTGAGAGTGAAACCTGGTAGATCCACTCTGACAAACTGTCGGGTGGTACCAACAAAAACTGAACATGCACATCCCCATATCCCAGCAAGCCCAATTCTCAACAGCTGTCCAAGGCAACGTCGCCATACATTGACCAAGAACACAAACACATGTGTGCATGGCAGTGCTATTCAAAGAGACTCGGCGCTGGAATGTGTAGTGCATGTACACAAAAGAATACTATTCGGTCATGAAAAAGACTGAACTCTATCTATAGGTAACAACATGGGGAAGTTTTACAAACATCATGGTAAGACAAAGAAGTGAAACAAGAAAGAGCACCATCTATAATTCCATTTACACGAAGTTCAGTAACATCAAAGGTGCCAGAAGTTGAGAGTGATTATCCATGATGAAAGGGGGAGGTTGTTTTAAAATACAATGATTTTTATCAAATATCCTATAACAAAGAACATTTCAAGAAGGAAAAATGAATGACAAAATAGTAAAAACACAACATTGTTGCCAAAGATATAAATTCCATTCAGATTACAGGTCTTTCCTCTTCTAAAGTCTGGATAAACTGCATGTCTCAGTTTTGAAAAATTTGTAATTCCCTTTCTGAAACCTTCACTATATTCTCTTAAGGAGAAATGATGCCATTTCTCCATGTGTTTGTTTGAAAAGTTGCAAAAAAAATTGAGAAAATGACCTTGAAATAAATAAAAATATAAGCAGTCACTTCCTTAATCAACTTTCAAGGCCAAGTTGGAGTACGTACAGAGTTGTTTCTCAAAATTCTGGGTACAGAATCTCCCCAGCCCTATTTCTCCTGGAATCTGTTACTACATTTATATAAAATGGGAATGAGAGTACATTCCTAATTTTTATTAACAGTATTTTCAGAATTCCTGGACATCACTATTGATGTATGGGTGTGGGCTCAATCTCCGACCAATTGAAGCTGAATCTTTGATTGCCTTGGAAATACACACTTTGACTAGCATGTTGTGTGATTCTTCTTTTTTTGCACTCAAACTTGAGAACTACTGTCAAGAGATAATGGCTTACTTCTTATTTATATGCACATCTCCAACACAGGGATTTGCACACAATGTATGCTTGTTGACTGTCTAATGTTTAATACTGCCAGATGGGTATGATATAAATTATTAAAGGAATATGGAATTTTTTAAAGATGTGTACACTACCAGGGGAATGATTTTACGTTCTGACTCCAACAAAATAAAAAGGGATGCAATTTTTCAAAAAAGTATAAAAAGTAGCTCCCACTTTAGTCATTTAAACTCCTTCTTTATAACACGAAGATATTTGAATTGTCCCATATTTCACAAAATAATTCAGTATATTTAGGTTTGTACTGTTCATTTTTTTTAATCTTCAGAGGATCCAGAGAATACACCCATTTGTACAAATGCCCATATTCTCTGGGCTGTTTATTAATATTAATGTTAATAGTAACTAATCAATATTAGCGCCAATACTAGGCTTCTATGATCATTTTCTTTTTTATAATCTATGTCCATTTAAAGGAAAGTTCCAGCAAATTTCTAAAAGGAATGAAAATGTCTTCGACTGTCTAGTTGAGTAGATATTTAAATCAAATCACAGTAGACACTGAAATTTTTATCTCTCAAACAGCCAAACAACTTGTTGCACTGAACAGAAAGTTTTAATATGAGAATCACTCTCACCAGAATTTTGACCACACTGAAAGAAAAGGACAGTTTACCTTTGACATAAGAGAAAAATTGGGAATTGTCCCAGGTTATACTATGGTTCATATCATTAAAGAAACAGAGAGATTAAAAGTTAAAACCTAGATATTTTATCGGTGTAAGATTATGTTTCAGAACTAAATGCTGTTTGGTGAAAAGCCTTAACTACTGTGAAAGATAAACTCGTATAATTCAGATACATATCTTTCAGCTACTCAATGTCAGCAATCTGAGTAAATCTCAGTTCTATAAATTAGTTGAAGAGGGTGAGTGAGCCTTTGTGACACATTTATTTTAAAAACAAATACAAGCATGACTGGGATTGGACATGAAGAACTCCACCTCCAGGCAACCAGACAGACTTGTTATCCTGCCAACAATTTGCTCCCTTACAATTATCAATCGCCCTTGACTTTCTGATGCCACAATTTACCTTTAAAATGACCCTAAAGTAGAGTGAGAATTTTCCCTACCTCTCTCAAGAGAGGAAATGATGTTTTTTTTTTTTTCTTTTTTTGGCAGGGATGCTAAGTTCTGACAGTTGCTGAGCAGTGGAAATCATGCTGTAAGCAAAAGTCTCTGCAAGACAGAGATTCCTACAAAATACTCTTTATTTTTCCAATGGCTACTGGCTACTCACATAGGATCCAATTCCAAGAACAACTTCACTGCAGTAAGGTTCCCTGAAACTGAAATCAAAAGATACATACACGAAACCACCAAGACTTCCTCCTACTCTGTCCACATCTCCTAGTTTCTCTCCACTGCATGTGCACATGGATTTGAGATCTAAATCAGCTACAGTGACTTATATTCTGCAGAACAAGGTAAAACTATGGAAGTAAGTGACCATCTTAAAGGAAGATTTAGCAAGTTAGCAAAGCAATGATGCTACTAACCATACTTTAGATGCTGAAGCATCCAAATAATCAGATTTTTCTTAGACTTATTTAGAAAAGTCCCAGACATGTAAGAAGTAGTAGAAAACTTCAGACAAACTTTGATTCCTGTTAAGTACTTACCATCGAATTTCTTGCATTTTGACAAAAGGACTTCATTAGTGATTCATTAAAAGAAAATTATCTACCTAAGTGCCAAACTGATCAGATCTGACACAACCTTTCATTTGTCACCTTGGCCCTCTTCTTTCTGTGATAACCTGTGGCTTTGTTAACTCCTGGGTTGACAAACTGAGATTTACAAAAAAAAAAAAATCTGTTCTGTTTTTTTCAGAGATGGTGTCCGACCATGAAATCTGATCATGTCCAAAAGTCAAAACAGATTTAGAAAAGTGACCTCTCTCGAGACCTCTGGTCGGTAAATAGTTTACAAGTCCAGTTAAAAATCTCAGTTAAAAACTCCAGTGCTCTTCATAGCAGGCTCTGAGGTCAAGCAAAACAGGACTAGACTAGTGACACGAGTTCCAAGACCATTTAATATCATTATTTAATATCATTATTTATATATTCATTAAAACGCAATACCATGTTCTAGTCATTCATTCATTTCCATATATATATATATATATTTGTTACTCTCTTGAATCAGGAGCTAGATCTTAAATACTTAAGATTTGCTCAAGGAATAAATACATGAAAGAGTAGTACTTACTTTCCAGTAATAAACTGACTCCTGGATGGTGTGCAAATAGGCTGGACATAGTAATTCTCCAGTTTAACTCCTTCTGCAGCGAGTTTGTCAAGAGTGGGTGTCCTGATCTCTGATCCGTGGTAGCCCACATCTCTAAATCCCTGATCATCTGCTAGGATGAAAATGAGATGGGGCTGGGAGGTGGTAGCTGTGCTGGGTTCTGGTCTCTCTTCAGCTTGAGGTCCAAAGGCTCCCTCTTCCTCCTCCTTCAAGCCCTGGCCCCAGGACAGGTAACCATAGGTGAGGAGGCTGAGAACCCAGAAGCCGGCCAGTGCCCCCACGGCTAGCATCTTTCCTGGGCAGACCCAGGCCTGCGCAGGTGGCGGAGGCAGAGGCCTCGCACAGCCCCTGGGGGCCATTCACTTGGGTCCCCACTGAGCGTCCAGGAGCAGAATCAGGAATGCTGCAGCTTGGATGGATGGCACAAGCATGCAAGCCAAGCCGGAGGGAGGGCCAGGCCCAGGAGCCGTGGAGGGTCTCTACCTGCAAAACACTCCTGCGCGCCTGCCTCAGCTCCCAGCAGGACTAACCACTGGAATCTTCTGGAAATTAAGGTTTAATGCAAAGCAAGGAGGAGTCGCTCTGCTCTTCTCCATCAAATTTCACTTTCTCCTCCTCCTCGTTCCCCAGAAGAGTTTCCAAAAAATAAAAATCTTGACGCCTCCACCCAAAAGTTTTCGGGAGCAAGAAAAACTAAGTAAGGAATTGAGAAACTCTGAGTGGAGACTTTTTGCGGGCAGAGGTCCCTCGACTTTGGGGAGCCAGTTTCTCCCCCTGCACGAGCACCCAGGCAGCGGGGGTCCAGTCGCCACAGCGGTCCCCTCACCTGGAAAGCGCTGGGGAGCTGCGCCACCGCGCATGGCTTCTGGGCATAGTGGACCAGCTTCTTGACCACTTTCTCCAGGTCTCCAGGCCTCGCTCTTCACCCTGGTCCTCCTCCGGGCGTCTGTCAATCTCCCCAGCAGTCAGCAGGCGGCTAAGTGAGGAAGAAAAAAAAATTTCCAAAAAGATTCCAGTTTCCCGAACTCTTTCCAGCGCTCACCATCCCTTCTCCGCGGGAACTCCAGGCAGCAGCGGTTCCCTCTCGGGCTGGAGCTCGGGGGACAGGACCAGACCTCGGGCCCTGCCCTGGGGGCCCCTCGGAGTCCAGCTCCCTGGGTATCCAGGGCGCGGGCCGGGGAAGGTGCTGCGCGCTGCCTGCGCCTCGCCAGGGAACTTGGTGCGGGCGCTGGAGTTCCCGGCCGCCTCCTCCCTCGCTCCTCTCCAGTGAATCACCGAGCGGTGCTTTCTGCCCAGCTCCCCCGGGGAGAGGGGGCGGGGAGGCCGCTTCGAGCCTTGATCTTTCCCTGCGCCTTCCCGGGAGGCCAGGGCGCAGGGAGGGGGCTTGGGGAGAGCGCGCGCGCTGGGCGCTGGGGAGCGCCGGGGAGCCGGGGGCCGCCCCGCCTGGGCACACTCCGGCCCCAGGCCCGGCTCTCCATCCCCCGAGAGGGGCCCGGGCGCACCCCGCGCTGTGGGCAGGTCTGTAAAGGAAGGGCCTTCTGGCCCGCGCCAAGGCTGAGCTCGCCAACTCTGCTGGGTTCTGGAGAGCGCGCGGGAGGAAGAGCTGGAGCAACAGAAAACTTACTAGCGGACTTTTCCTTCCGTCTGCTTTTTTTTTTTTTTTTTTGACCAGTTCCTTCCCTCCATTCCCTCCATTTTTCCTACTTTTTATCTCTGCCTCTCTTAAAAAAGAAAAAAAAAAAATCGCCCGACTGCGTGTTTCTGAGTTGAATTTCCTTTCCCTAGTGCTAGTCTTCACAGCCACTTTGCCACACTGGCTTCTATCTGCGTGAGGAGCTGAAATTGCCCTGTCCTCTGCAGCTGCCCAGCTCAGCCATGACCAAAGCATGGGCAACCTGGCAGAGCAGAGGCAGGGGTTCATCATTTCACCCTAAAGAACCCCAAGCTGGCCTGCACTCCAGTAAACCACCTTTTGCCATTTAGAACAGAACGGGGGAAACAAAATCAATTCATTTGTATTTAATTTTTCAGAGATTTATTTTTATTTATTTATGCATACAAGAGCTGGGGTGCAGGCCAGGGGGCGAGAGGATTCACCAGAGACAGAGTGGGGAGCAGAACAGGCAGACTGATGAAGTACATTGCTGAGGGGAGCAGCGGGCGAGACAGGAGAGGTCTGCTGCACCATGTGGGTAGCTCCCTGGCCGGGGATCAAACTCATGCTGTCATGGCTGGGATAGCTTGATAGCCCTAAGACTTTAACCCCAGTGCCAGCAGGGAGGCCCAACTTATTTTTAAAATATATATGAATATATTGTAAAAGCTTGTTCGGATTATGAAGATATGCCTGCTTTCACTAGAACATAGCTTTTTGGAAAGCTCTGTTCAAAGTCAGGAAGAGGATTTATAGTACTTAAAGAAGTGGAATTAATGCAAAAAACCATGGAGATATTTCTTTCTTTACCCAGTTGTATTACAGGTTTCATCAGGCCATTTTTTTACTGGTTCTTTTCTGTCGCTAAAGTTTCTAGGGTGCACATAAGTATGGACCCTTGACCAATTTCAAACTTGCAGTGTGCTCCGTGCAGTTAATTCTGTGAGCACAGGTAAACTTCCATGAGACCATTCTCTTCCCTGAGGTTCATGTGTGCAGAGACGGCCTGGAACATAATGGTGACCTAATCCAGCCACAATCTCCTCTCTAGGCAGCTGACATTGTAACGAGAAGAAATACACTGATCAACTGATCACCTCCAAACTACAATAGTTACCTACCATGCTACAGTATTCTGAGTAAGTATTAAGCATTCAGAAGGATAGGTAGAAAATTCAGAGACATTTTCAAACAAAGAGAACTGACTCAAACTGGATATGATTAGAGGGTGAGGTGATATAGGAAAGTGATCTTTAAACTGACGGGGATGTTATTTTGTTTCTTATCTCCTTATCCAAGATAGTAAGACTTAGAAATATATCTGGCTTCAGAACTCAAGATATTAATATATTCTTCTCACAAGTGGCCTTAAAGATTTCTTCCAGACACACAGGACAGAGAGAGCACAGCCACAGAATTTAGAGAGCTTGACTCCCCACCCAGGGCATACAGACTTTGCAATCTCAGGACAGAAGAGCAGCTGTTGGCCCTAAAAATGCCATTTCTGGGCTAAGGAAATCTAAGAACTATTTACAATTAGTAATATGAGCAAAGAAACAAGAATGGTCATGCTTTGGTCAACTAAATGAGATGTGACTCAAAGGGAAGATCCATCAGGCAGGTGATTTGCCCACAGTGGGAATTTGGGAAGTGTTAAGCCCACATGCCTAGGGGAGACCTTGAGAAGAAACCAGAGCCTGCTGAATGCTTTATGGTCTACTGTATATATACTAGTATTAAACGTACATAACTGGGGCCTCCCCTGGTGGCGCAGTAGTTGAGTGCTGGGCTGTGAAGCTGCCCACAGCCTCTGCAGCACCAGTTCGATCCCTGACCCCCGCTGCCAGCTGCCAGCTGCCAGCGAGTGTCCCACATGGCTTGCAGACTTCTCCTGCCACACCCGCTGCTCCCCTCAGCAGTGTATTTCATAGGTCTGCCTGTTCTGTTCCCCGCTCTGGCTCTGGTGAATTCTCTCACCCTCCCATGCTTCTGACTATACCCAGTGCTTGCATAACTAACTAACTAACTAACTAAATAATAAATAAATAAATCTTTTAAGAAAATAAAAGTACATAACTTATATAACTTCACATGACAGGACCGTGTTTCATTCATTTTTTAGCCATAAAATCCCAAGTTAAAGGCTCTGCAACTTAGTACTTCCTTCTTTGTTTTAGGGCCAACATTTTGGTGTACTGGCATCAACATCTTACAGAATCACATCTTAGGTTTCTTTCAACTTGGTTGTGTTCACATTATAAATACATTCTTCTAGTTATGAAATGGTAATATAAAAATCAAAAGTGCTGCTTTGATCCAGAAAAAAAAGGAATGAGGAAATAGAATTACTTAGAAATGAAATGAGCATCAACTGACCATTCACATGAGGCTCAGCCAGGTGGTGGGAAGCTATGACTTCAAGGATGACGGGCACTCAGGCCAGGAGCAAGAAAGCTAAAGGAAGGTTATTTCAGGTAAAAGAAAAGAGAAAATCAATGGACTAGGATACATTGTGACTGGGAAAGCATGGGAAATAATGCTCTTAAGTACATGTCACCAAGTATTGAGGGTTTGAAAGGTGTGAAGGGTTTGACTTGAAGTTGTTGGGCATTAGGAGTGATAGCCTAAGTATTGGGTCTTTGGAGCAGGTTATAAGTTGATAAAATATATTAGTAAATCTTAATAACATCATTAATGGGATGGATTTACAGAGACAGATGATACAAGTGAGTAGTTTCAGTCCATAAAAGTTTGAGGACTTACGGTTTTATCCTGGGAGTCTATGGAAGTTTCCTGGTTAATGCAATATATGAAAAATGTAGAAAAAGAGGCCCAGGACATTTTTAGAGAGACTTCAGGGAGTAAAGACTAGAATTACAAAGCTGCCAGGTTACGTAAAACTTCTACAACAATGTGTCAAAAGGGTAAACTTCTATGCTATGTTCATGTCATCCAAAGGGAGAGGATATTTGTTAAAAGATTAGAAAGAAAGGAATTAGTCAACTAAGAGGAAAACAAGGGTCAAAGGAAGAAAGGATCAAAGAGAGAACACTGTTTAATTGGATAGTAGGAAAACAAAAAAAAGAACAGGAAGGGTAGGTTGGCAGGATGGTCACTACTAGTAAGGGGAGATTAAAATAAGGCAGCAGAGTGGGGTGTGGGACTCCCCAGGGCACAGTCCAAGTGGCTGGCCAGGGCAAAAGGGAAGAATGAACATAGTGGTGGATGTGAGGAGCCTGTCCCTAAACAGAGAATCTAGGAAAGTCACACACAGGATATTGTTCGGAACACCTATATTAACCTGCACTACAAAAATGGCATTTCCTGGGCCTCCCTTGGTGGTGCAGTGGTTGAGTGCTGGGCTGTGAAGCTGCCCGCAGCTTCTGCAGCACAGGTTCGATCCCTGGCTGCCGGCGAGAGTCCCACATGGCACGACAGACCTCTCCTGTCATGCCCGCTGCTCCCTTCAGCAGTGTATTTCGTCAGTCTGCCTGTTCTGTTCCCCACTCTGGCTCTGGTGAATCCTCTCACCCTCCCGCACTTCTGACTGTACCCAGTGCTTGTATAAATAAATAATCTTTTAAAAAAATGGCATTTCCTGTAGCCCCCCAGTAAACATGTAAAGAATTGCTAGCCACAAATTATATACATTTAAGCTCTTTTTTTTTTTTTTGCTTAGTAAGACAATATGCTTGCCATACTCTTCCCGCAGTATTTATTGTCAAATAAATATACTCAGCTGCTTAAAAGGTATAGCTGATTTTTAAATGTAGGTTTAAAAAATTATGAACACAGTCAATTCAGGGATTTACAGACTATTAAAAGGTTTTAAAACCCAATTGCTGCTTGTTTGGGTTTGTAAGTACATTAAGTATTTAAAATTGTAGGAATGTCATTAAGTTTAAATCACTCATGAATGGTGTAAAATAGACACCTGTCTTAGTTTAGTCATCTTGACATGGATCCCATATAATAATCTGCTTACTAATTATTACTAACTCTCTATTAAACTATGGAATCAAGGCTGCCTTGAGCTATTAAATTGTCACAAGAAACAAAAGTTACCTGAATAAACCAAGTAGGATGATGGAGCAGCTGGTTCAATACTTGTAAAGATCACTTTCCTTTTGCGGGTGGTCTCTGTTGAAATAAGTTGTGACAATTTAGGCCTCCATGGGTGAATGTCAGAGTCAACAGTTTGTGCAAGTGGTGCTGGCTTCAGAGACACTCCAAGGAAAGACTAGGAGGAAAAGCTCGGCTCTGAATTCAGCTCTTCCATACTATTATCTGTGAGCAGGATTTCCTGGTATTCTCCTAGTGGCATAGGCCAAAGGTACATGGTGATGACCTCCTGAGACTGATGTGACTGGTATCTGGTCTCAGCGGGGGTAGATCTGAGCATCTATTGGGCCACTCCTGCTCCAAATGTTCCCCATCCGTTCCTGGGATCAGTGGGATGGATGCATGTTCTCCTGAAGGCAACGAGCAAAGCATAAGAGAACAAGGCCCACCAAGCAGACTTATCAAGTCTCACTTTATCTGCTGAAATCCCAATGGCCAGTGCAAATCTGATGTCTAAGTCTAAGATTGCAGATGGGAAATACACCTTCTCCAGGAAGAGGTGAAGAAATTGGGTGAATAATTAACTCTATCATAGTTGTTCTGAGAATCCAATGAGTTCATATTTGAAAAGCACATGGATGAGAACTTGGTCAATTATAAGAGCTTTAAATGTTAGTTTTAATTTGCTATTCTCATTAAATTACTCCTAAATTAATTTGTAGTTAATATAATTCCAATAAAAATCTCAATCTGGTGATAATTCAGAACTCAAAATATGGAAACTTTAAAAAGGAAAAAGAATTTAGAACATATGATTAGACAACAGTAATTAAATATGATTAGTGAAAGAAAGTATAAGCCAAAAATGGATCTGTTACAGGAAAACAATGAATGATAGGAAACTTTTCAAAATAAAATAAAGAGCAAACATTCACAGTGATTAACTTAGTGGAAATTTATGTAACTACACTAAAAAAGAGAGAATAATTAATTCACATTTTATAGAAAATATCAACAGAAAAACACAGCTAGTTGAAATTGGAGAGCTAAATAAAAATAAAACCAGTTAACTAAAACCCCATCAGAAAATTTAATTGACTATATGGCAGACATGTGTGGAAACTATTCTATTTTTGGTTTCTAAATGATATGGAAATATCATGGCAAATGATTGACTATGAAAGACTTTTAACAGACTATTAAATCAGAAAATTTAACCAAGGCACCAAGATTCAAAGCTGTGATTTTCCAAAGAGGTGTGCCAGAACAAGATGCACATTTTCAAAGGAGATTATTAAAAACCAGTTCCACAACTCTCAAAATTCTTACTCATGCTGAGGTAATAAAAGGGTCAGAATGTATGGAGATTGGGGAGATCTGTGAAGAGACTTTCTTATAGGGTTGCTGCTTGTCCTGAGCACACCTGCCTTATGTGGACCAAAGCTGGGAGCTGACCTTTCAGATTCAAGTGCTGTGGTGTCCAGCTGCTGTCTGAGCAAGCTTCAGGATGGGCTGCTGTTAATCCAGCTGAAGAGATGGGCTCTGGGTCAGTACCCTCTCAGTTTGTCAGGGCAAAGAGTGCTTGAGTGCTTCCTGGTAGTCAGATGTGGCCACCATGTAAACAAACGCTGGCCTGGGGTTGTCTTCTGTGCTGTGCAGGAGAGCCTCGTGTTGGTGTATTAGATTGGCATATCTGGGACCCCAAAACTCCATGGCAAGATGACTTCTGCAAGTCTGTCCTTCTTGGGGGTGGTCCACACAGCACTGTGATCATACTTAACAATACTGTATTATGTCCTTGAGATTTTTTGGGGGAAAGATCTTAAATGTTCTCACTACATACGCAATAACTAATTATGGAGGGGTGGTGGATGGCATAGCCAATGCAGTGGTGGGGATCACTGTAATAGGTTAAATGTGTTAAATCAACAGGCTCCCCATCAGCTACACAGTGTTATATCTCAATTATATTCAGTAAGGTCGAGGGAGAGGGGAAGAAGTGGATGCAATGGACATTTCTTATCGTGATATTTCCAGATTAAAAACAGTATGCTGTCCAGTGCTGTCCATTTTCTAAAAGTTATTTTACATCAGATTTGTTTGGGTTTGTTTTTGCTTTGGAAATGTTCACATTATTTTACAGCCCTTATTTTTTAGTCCTGGGGGACAGTAACTGCGCATGGAGAATGAGATGCTAGTGTGCGGGCTCATGCATAGTACCCAGCAGGATGTGAAGTGCACAGTGGAACTAACACTCCATGAATTTTGACCCTTGGTACCAGGTAATGTTCTTTGTATTGTATATGTATATTCAGTATGTGTATGAACATATTTAATCCTTGCATTAGCCCCAACAGTGGATAATTTCTTTGCCTCCATTGTTTAATTAAGGAAACCATGAGAGGGAATTTACATAGTTAGCTACACTGCTAATACATTGGAACAAGGATCTGAGCCCAGTTAAAGTTAATCCAAGCCATCTTTCCAATTTTTTAGCATTTTCTGATTTCAGCAATTTTCATAAGTTTTTTCCCACAACAGTGAAATAATTTCATTCATAGTTTCTCCCTGAGGTACTCATGTTATCTGCACTTGATAGCAGGTGTTGAAAATGTGCTACTTTTGTGTACCCCCTTTATCCCTCACCCCTTTTCCTGTCTGTTCCTAGTTCTGCAGTGATTGGCAGATCCCTGTCTCCTAGTGTACCAGGCTTCATTCTCTGACACCCTCCTATGAGCTGTCTCCGTCCAGTGTAGAATCTGGCTGGGGTTGATGCTTCATGATGGAGCCTGTCCCTTCTGGTAATAGACAGGCACAGCCAGGTCTAGCTGGAGTAAATTTATGTAATTCAGGAAGATCACACCCAGACTCATCAATTCTAGACTAGCTGGCTGCCATTACTTTGTATCTATATCACAAAAAAGGGAAGGGAAATTTGCATTGTTAGGTAGCTTTTCAAGGTTACATAGCAAACAAGTGATTGAAGTGACAAGGACAGCACAGACCTCTGCTTCCATTTTCATGCTTTTATAATGACATCATGCCTCTTTATTATTGTTTTTTAAAGTGGGTGTCTTCGTTCTTTTTACAAATTAAATAGCAGAAGGTTTTCATTTAAAACAGCACTCTTTTAGATTATTAATGAGGTCGATTCTTATTAAACCCAGTTAGTCAGAAGGAATTTAATTTTTGGAAAACAAGTTGAATTAGCAATGAATCTGATTTATATGATGACGGGAATATTGAGGGGCAGCTCTGCATTTCTTCTCTGCTCAGCCTCCCACCCCAGCCTCTTAGGAAGTATTACATTATTAGTCATTGGGTCAACTGAAGTGAGAAAACTGTCTCTTGGCTATACTAACATGCAGCTGTCTTGCAATATTTCTTGCCCAAATGGTAAATACAACTTCTACTGATAAGATTTTTTAAATGCCATTTAGAACATTTTATCTTTTAAAACATTATCAGTCAGATTCCATATTAAAACAATCCCATGACAAAGGCACTGCATTGATTTAAACGATACTGTAATTGATATAATTTCCTTTTGATATCGATGATCTGGCTCATAAAAACACAGTTTTACAGAACATGTTTCCCCTTGTGGCTCTCTTGTGTTTACTTGCCACAATAAATAAGAAAATAGATTTTCTGCAGATGTTTCTATTGGTATATTGAGAATTCCACCTCAAAAACCCATGGAAATAAGTTGAATATGTTTATCCTGTTTCTATCATTTTAATGTCACATGGAAACTAATCTCATGACATCCATAAATTTCTCTTGCTATGAATTAATATAAGGAATCTTTACTTTTTCATCATTGAGAGCTTTAGAAAGAAAATATATGCTTGTTATACATTATATGAAACTATTGTGCTACTTTGTATAACTATTCAATTAATTTACATGTATTTGAGTTCAACACAAAATAACCAATAATTATTTCTGTATATTTACTTGGTTGGAAATTTTTCAAATTCATGAATTGGTAGAATTCTGATTTTGGTTAAGCAGTCTTTCTCTCACTGCTATAAACTTTGATGACATTTGTAGTGACAGAATTTCTAGTTGATAACCTTGCAGAAGACAAAAGGTCAATATATAAGAGGAGGAAATAAATATCAGTACTTTGTAATATTAGTAAATGTTTGAATTTTAGAATGTATAGGCAGTGATAAGCAGACAGCAGTGTTTCAATAATTTGAGGTTAAATAGCAAAAAAAAATAGAAGCATAATGGAAGAAGAATAATGAAATTTTTTGAGACAATATATATGTTAGAGACAAAATACATGTTACATAAATATGGGAAGGTTAAAAGAGAGGGTTCTCTCATCCTGCATTTTGAAATATATTTTATTAAACCACTTTCAATAAAAACAACAATTCCCTATGCTATTCTAATTTCAACATTTTTGTATCTTGTCTACTAGCTTAATTTCAAAGTTATTTTGAAACATACAAAGTCAATGTTATTCTCTGGAAATAATTGAAGGAATCAATTATGACAAGTTTCATTTTGTGGTGTGCTTTATTTTAGGGATCTGTGTTGCTGGTCTAATCCTTTCATTTAGAAATAACAAACAAGTAGTTGAAGCTAGTCCCACTGGTAAACAAATTTTGAAACTGTACAGAGCATATGATTAGAGCAAGTTTTAACAAAGGGTACGTGCTTGCCACCCACTCAGACCCTACTCCAGTTAAAACTTGCATGAAAAGAAGACAGTAAAACATCAAAAGGGCCATGAGCATCAAGTAACTCTGCCTAAACAATGCCCAGCTTACATGTTTTCCCACACAGAATACTAAGTTTCTATTACAAAGTTCCAGATAAATGGGCAAAAATATGAGGCTACTTCTATGTAATATTTTTTAACTTTATGAAAAAGTCAGTTTTTTTGCAAAATGACATCAGAGTATTTTACTACTTCAGGCTTCCCCTCACCTAGGGGCCTAGAGTTCTGTTCAAAGTGACTCTGAGGGCTTGGGACATTCACTTAAAGTCTTTCCTCTGCCTGGACCAGCCTTCCTAATCCCTCCTTCACCCTATATCTCAGATCTCAGCTCAGAAACTACTTTCTTCAAGGGTACTCCCTAAACTCTCTACTGCAGTCAAGTTTCCCTGCACCCTAAGGCATGTATTACATTTTGTCATTACAGTTTTATTCATGTTATTATTTTAGTACCTCCTACCTTCTCCAACAGATTGTAACTATCCTGAGGATAGGCACAATGAACATTTTGGCACCATGTTCTTTCAGCATTGAGCACAGAATCTGAGATTTGGAAACAGTTACTTAACTGTTCAGCATCTAAATGAATGAGTAGGGCTTTGGACTCAGGTCCCTTATGTTGTGGTCCTGTGTGATTTCTACCACAATGTTTTCCTCTCTCATGCAATGAATAATCCTACCTTTTACTTGAAAATGAAATGGAGAGAATTTTAACTTCATAGTGAACTGTTAACATGGGAATAGCAATGGAAATGAAAAAAAAAAAAAACAAGTCAATAGTTCATAATGGAATTTGTAGAATAGAAAGACTAAGCACACAGAAGTCTCAATGTTAAACTATACAAGAAGTCCTAGAAGCAGCAAGTGAGAAATGAAGGTCCTCCCATCATCATCATGATAAAATAAAAACAGAGCCTGTTTAACTAAACTTTCAGTTGGTCCATGGAAAATAAAATAAGTTAAAATAATTTTGCACATATAAAGAGCATCTATCACACCACCATTGCTAGCAGACTGTAACAAAGGTGGGCAAAGCAGGGGATTCTTTTTAAGTCCCAAAATGTAATTCTCAGACTTGTCACTTTTCTCCAGTTAGTCGTTAAAAACTATAAAATAAAAAACTGAGTCTGTCGATATTTGGTTATGGCATTTACCTCCTCTCTCCCAACACCCCCTCCAAAAAAAATCAGCTTCGAGTAAGGAAAAAGAATTTCCATGACTTACTAACTTAGTTAGATTACTGAAGTCAGCCTTTGGCTACAAAATGACTCCGTGAGATTCACAAACGGTTCTGTAGAAATTTTCTAAAACTCTTGGAGGTTGTATTTTAAAAATCACACTTTCTTTAGCCAATGATGAGAAGATCTACCTTGAAAGTTATGAGTGAGATGTTGGAATTCTGCTGTCCCCAGTGGAGGAAGCAAATAGAAAATTCTGCCAAAAATGCCGGAAGCACCTGGGAAGACTGGGCTGAAACCCCTCTCAGGAAATGATCAGCTCCACACCTGGGTGGAGGTGTGCGTTCTCACCAACATCCTGACAAGGACAGTTATTTTAACACAGACAACTGAAAGACTTGCCTAGATCAGATCTAATAATGTAATAATTATTATGGATGATGATGCTAATAAGAAACTGCTGTTATACAAGTATTTGCATGGAGTAATTCAATACATTTTGCATTCAATACAGAGTTAAAGTCAAGGAATTGAATTAAAAAATACTTACATTTGGAAAAAATAAAAAGCAATGTCTAGAGAGAAAAAAGGAAATGAAAATAAAGACATTGACCTGTACCCCTTTTACTTCAAATGAAAGTCTTTGGTATTTATATACAGTAGGTAAAACTTTTTCAAGTAGTGGTTTATATTTGAATTGGATAATTTCTAATGAGTGTGTTCCTACAATCATATGCACAACCTCAAGGAAGCACAGTATATTAAATCAGCAATTACACATTAACCTTAAAAAACTGATAATTTGGCAGAGAAATGCTCCTTGCTGGTATTTTATGTGACATGAAATTCCTTCAAGAAAAGTTTACTATCTCCCAGTAGTTGCTATTTTTCTGGATAATGTTAACAAGTACAAATTCTGCTACAAGCGACACATTCACTTCTATCACTTAGTCTTTTAATAAATATATTAAAAATATTGCACTAACTAATTCTCTAGTGTTTTAGCTGTCATGCTACCATTTAAATTTATTTTATCAGCTTGAGTTTATTTATTAGCCGCTGAATTGCCTTCATCCATTGTTCTGTAGTAATGGAAGGTTTACATTTTTGTGTATTTGGCTCTCATAGTGGGGATTTCAGAGCATGATATCAGCTATTTTCAATTTCTCCTCAGATTTTCAATTTTCAATGCATCCATGTTAAATATTAAAATAATATTTTTGCTTATTAAATATTAAAAGAATAGGGCCTCCCCGGTGGTGCAGCGGGTTGCGTGCAGCGCTGTGAAGCTGTCTGCAGCCTCTGCAGCATGGGTTCGATTCCCGGCCGGCCAGGGAGATACTCACATGGCGCGGCAGACCTCTCCTGT